GCTAGTATAACCTACAATTTCCGGTCTAGAGCGTTCCCAACAACTTACGTAATTATCGATGAAAGCACATGCGCGAAACGATAAGCACCCAAGCGCTATTTGTACGCTTACGAATACGAGTAGTAGTATGTTTGACGTACTGCTTGATTAGTCACGTGTTCTGCGATCATGGTCGCTGACCGTTATTTCCGTTACGCAGGGCAAAAGTAAATTTCGGTAGGAATCACTACGTGACCTCTCTTTAAAAGCATTATTACCTTTTCCAATTGTATCGTTCCCGATGTGTAGCGTTTCACGACGACAATTATAGCACCGTACGCATCATAGTTCCGACCTTACGCTAACGTTTTTGAAATGCTTAGTTGAAGCTATTTTCGAATCTACCCGTACTATAATTTAGTTTTTGTCGCCCTTCACTCATCATACATTAGTTGGTCCTGTTTTTTTCAATACTTCCAGAAGATACGTTCCTACTTAGGGACGCTGAAGTCTTCCTTAAACAAAAAAAATATATATATACTTAAAGCAGCACAAAGCTCACGAGTTTTTGTATCGGCATACTGGTGCTTTTCCATTTGCTGTATCAAGATCTGGTGCCACTACTGCAGCAATAGAGCGTGATCGTGAAGACCTGAAGAATGGCCATGTTGTATTATGAATGGTTATCGTTTGTATTTCTCCTGCTTGCTACTGCTTCTGCGCCAGATGTTGCACTCGGTCGGGGTCACTCGACCAGACAGAGAAGTTTCATTACTTTGACTGTTGAACGCATTGTGAGGAAGAAATGTTGTTTGTAACAGAACAGCAGCTTGCACGAATCGACAGCGGCCGCGGGGCAGTTGCTCCAGCGCGATAATGAACAGCAATGGCAGTACCCGAAAACTTTCCACGAAAAAGAACGAAATGACGCAAGCGTACCAAAGCACAGAAAAATACCGTCAAAGAAACTTCTTCTTGATCTGATTTCTTTTTTTGTAAAATTCTGCCGTATTTTTTTCACGTCAGCAGATGTGTAATGCCGTTACTGTCGGCACGGTGTCTGTATTTGACGGGGACAAAAACGCAGACGACGAACGTGCACTGGAAAGAAATTATATGTTTAGTTCTATTTATCATTCGTTGATGGCTTTAGCCCATTTGGTGCTAATTGGGCCAGATGTACTGTTAACACATACGTGCTATATGGCATGTGGTTAGCCGAACTACTCCGAATTGGAAAAAAAAATAGAAAATCAAACATCAAATATAACTTGTGGAATCTAACAAATCTTGGACTTCAATGGCTGTAACGGCCGGCGCGGCTGAAAGACCCAGTAGGAACTTCACTGTTTGAAGGTTGAGGGTCCGCTGCCTAGTTAGGTGCCATGCGTGACGCCGATATAATCTAGGCGAATAACTACTGACTTATCATCTGCAGACCAAACTTCTCTAGTATATGTATGTGCATAGAACGCTACTATACAAAGTTAAATCTGTTGAAGAAACTACAGTTTTGACAACACTTAATTTCTCGTAACGTAGTAAATGAAGATAGATATTTTAAAGCATCCGCTGAATCAAATAACATCGCATATGGTTCGAGACGTTCTTATAAAGCTCACGAGAGGATACACCTTAAAATAGATTTTATCCGTGAGTGTACTGTAAATACATAGTTCGAGACCCACCGGGTCACCCCTTTACACTTTCTGAAGACATAGGTATATATATATATATATATATATATATATATCAACACATGAGAAACAAACTAATCATAACTACCCGTTTCCTAATATTCTAAACAGTCGGAGAAGGACCTTCTTTTTTTTTATCAAATTCCTCATTTCGTAGTCAGTCTTTAGCAGTTTCCGGAATAGTTAAGCGTGCATGGTTATATTAATTGATAAATGAGAAGATAGTTCTGTCGCCTTAAAGCACAAAGGCCCTGCGCTTTGGCATTGATCATCGTAACTATTATTACATATAGATTATCAGAGCAGCTTCTAATGCTCGCATCATTTATTAACAAACTTATCAACATAGGAGCACAAGTGTACTGGCCTGTATCTGTCCGGGCCTGTATGTTAGGCTATCATAAGAAGTAGCGACGTTTCGTGACATTCGTCGCATGAATACGTACAGAGCGGAGCTTGATTTGCGGCTAAAACAGCGTGCAAAAAGCGCGGCCGATTCAAAATGTCAGTTGATAGCTCAACTTATGATTGTGAAACGATTTCATGGGTTAACATGACAAATCGCTAGTGAAACGCAAATCTTCAAATCAATAGAAATATCTTACAGAAGATGGCTAGTGTCGTTTTAGCTTTAAACGTTTTAATCGATGCGTGATCGAGAGTTTGGGTTACCTGAAGTTAGCTGCGTTATTGCTCGTTAGAGAAATGTCGAATCTTTAATGTTGACTTTATGTAAATGGAGCTTATTGCATGATTTACAATTCAATAAGTTTGCCCACACTCCTTGTATATATGGTTGAAATAAAAAATGAAATCACATAGTTCCGCATTAGGCACGATGTCAATTACATGAGACGCTGATCAGATATTTACTATGTTTTATTAACAATGTGGAAACCTTAGCGCCGTTTTTATCATGCCATGTTGCGATAGATAGCGACAATATAATATGCCAAACTAGATCTTCATGTAGCGAAACATTCAGTGAATATGTTTAACGAATTAGGCGGACATAGGCCGACCTGGATTACAACGTACGGGAAATTTTCCATTATAACTGACCTCGTCTTGAAAAAGGCCTAAACTGGTCATACTGGTCTTCTTATCCTTTAAGAAGGAAGTTGATTACTGCAGATTCACACATCAGAAATACTTGAACTAGAGACAGCCTTTAGTATTCGCGTCTTTCCTTTGTCCAACGCTTCGTGTTTAATACTTTTCGCTAATGCGATTTTTGTAATGATGGGATTAGTTGTGTGGTTTGCCAGAATAAAATAAGCCAGAAACATACTCGGACTTGTGTCATAATATGAACGTATAAAATACCATTTATATCAGAACTTGATTGGAGAACGAGTGGTACAACAATAATTATAAGATAGTTCAGAGGAAACACAGAGGCGACAATGAACAATTCTGCCAAGCCTTGGAAAAAGAGCAAAGCCTCGAAAATTTTTATAACAGTCACTGTTAATACTTCAGCAGAACTTATAAAAACCTATTTCTGAAATCATTTGAATTTTACATAAATATGTCATTAACGATGTGCGCTGCGTGACAGGTTTCAAACGGTCTACTCTTTACATTTTGGACAAATGGCTTTGATAATTCAATAATAACGGCCTCAAAATTGGCGTCCGCTAACGATTCCTGGGCAGGACGAACCGTAACCCTAGCAGGTGTGGCAACTCCTGACTGAGCAAAGATGACTGGTACATCGAATCGTACCCGAAATTCTCAATCTATCGTTACGCTTCAAGCGAGCTACCTGTAACGCATAATTTCAAGTTCAAAGATAACCGTTGCTGCTATTTCTGAGCGTTTTTGCTTGTATCTATCGAAGATGAGACAGAGTGGCGGACTGTTGCTGGGCCATGTAATTCTAATAGTGTGGGATGAGATGAATCACGTTTGCTACAAATACCACTCGAATCGATGGTCACGGTGTGGCTAGTCCAGGCAATGCTTCTTCTGCACCATTAAGGCTTTCTAGTTTGTTGGCTAACTTCCAACACCTTAATAATACAAGTTTGTGGAAAGGTGACTTATACCTTGCGTGCTAGGACAAGCACGATTCGGTAGCCAGACTAGACTGATCGGATTATTGCGATGTTGAGACAACAAAACTACGGAGTTTCTTGTAAATCCTTGCTAAAATTTAATATATGCTTCTCGGCTTCATTCAAATAATTTCACTAGGACTCCATTGTTATAGTCGCATATGTGAGACAAAGCTGATAGCTTCGAATAGACCGTAGATATTGTTTGTTGTCCTTATGGTTGACTATAGCTAGCTAGATAATTTCCTGGATAAACCGGGGAATATCAATAACGCAAGTTTTAAAAACCATCAATTATTAAGCTTTAACAACGCTAAAAAAAAATATTAAACAATGTATTATGGTAACTGCGACAGCGTGGCCGAAATGTGAATGAATTTCCAGCATAATTGTTTTAGGTTAACCTAATGGTTTATGATACTTCGCCTAGACGTTAGACAGTCGCATCTGAACTTCTGCTGAAGTTGCAGACGCTTTGCAAACCTCTAAAATTGGCAGTCGATCCCTAGAAAATTGCTGACCCTCGTGTGGAATATCAGAAGTCTTCGGAGTGGCTTGTAAACTTTTACACCAGGCTTTTGACACAACTGCAATCAATTACACGCTTCTAAAGCAGGGCATTCGCGTTTTAGCTAACGAGTGATCTCTTGGCAAGTTAACGATTATTCGTTTCTAACTGCAAGTTTGGCTATATGTATTAATAAGATAAGGAGCATACCGACTAATAAAGCATCTTTTAAGCTATTGTATTATGTTTGGCAGATGTTTGCGTGACAACCGATTATGCTCTGACCTATAACAATAATAGTTGGTACTAATAAGATTGGTAAATCGCGCTAAAAATTGGTAAAATGACATCTCTACGAACAGGTCGTTCGATCCGTCTATGTCTTTGAGATTATAGCCACTTACTGCGTATTATCCAAGTATCATCTGATATCGATTCCTGCATGCAGGTTCTGGGTCGGTTTAACTATAGCTTAATTCCACCAGCTGTCCTTTGTGACTTAGGACTTGTGACTAGGGAAGCACGTAGAGGCTACCCTGTGTACCTACGTAATGTTCGTCATGAACCAAACTATATGCATAATCAGAGATTATAGAATACGGCCGTGTTCCGAAAGTGCCTTGGAAGAAGGCACTGTCCTACGTAGGCTTTATTGCATCGCATCAAAGCAGTCGAAATCTCTCCGCATCCATTGTAGCCTATCTGTCCAATTAAAGATTGTTAGAATTAACTCGATATTGTATTTTGTGATTGCAGGAATTATTAAGCGAAGTAACTGTCTTACTTGTTGTGATCGTAGTGGCTCGAGTGCAGGGAGATCGTCTAGGGAGTACCAGCGTCCAACATCGATCTCAAGATGTCAGTGCAGCCGACATGATCTGAATATATTTTGCTATAGTGGATAAATCTTATCAAAGCCTTATAAATTACCGTTTATTCTCTTTTTACAGATTTAATTAAAGATATAGCTATAGGCCCATTGTTCGGACAATCCTGTAATTTTCAGCCGACATGACGACGTTGTGACGCTATAAGTCGAGTGAATAGAAATAGCTTGACATATTCAATAGGGATTTTCAAACGTTGTTTCGTATAGCTGAAATTGGAGGTCAAATCAAAAAAATTTGACAGACAGCATCCATCAATAGGTATCTATCCATTACACAGTATAAAATGGCTTACATAGAGTACTTAATACTGAGAGTACTCGCCTTTTCCTTTGATTCACTACCACCTAACCTTCGATTTCCTTTTTAACATATGGCTTTTTTGGCACAACCTGTATACATTTTGAACGTCCCGCTTGTAATATTTCCATTAACGATAAAACTCGTTATAGTAAAGCGTATCAAAAGGTCTTTTTGTCTATTAGGACAAACATTTTTCAATCAGCACAGGAATCATCGAAAGGGACAGAAAGAAAGATAACAAGAGAAAACTATATTCCCCTATCTTAATCACTCCAGCTTTCTATTAACTGTAGCTAATCGTTATAGCGTCCTTCTGCAATGCAGAATTTTTTCTCGTTTGGTGGCGACCATTCATAGAAAAAAAATGACTTCCTTGAAATTTACACATGTACGCGATCCGTATACAGGATTGAAAAATCGTCAAGCCAACCCTTGACTGTAGCCGACCACTAAAGTAGCGGTATCACTGTGACAAAATCGCCAATCGGCTGCCGAACGCTCAGCAGCTATTATTATCGGTATATGAATTACTATTATTACTATTGATTCTACTAGTTTGTCTCATATAATGACCATCGCGCTTGGCTCATAGCGAATGCACAAGAAATGTCTCTGTTCTAACATAATTACGTTGCTCATCAGCTGTCAAAAGACCGATACGAATACTATAAGAATACACTTACATCGGGCAGATGCCCATAGGACATTTGTGAACTATGGCATAAGGAACGGCGTACGTTGGGAATAACGCGACCGATCACTAACGTAAGTTGTTTCGCATCTGCTCCACATTCTATATAACTCCTATACCTTAGTGGCCATTGCCATTCTCCGTTTCGTCTTTGCCCACCGTGGCAAACTGTTATTGTTGTCAATATCGTTTGTGGTGTTGTTCCTATCGTCTCGTCGCCATTTTCTTCCAAAGTTTCGATACTACCGCTGCTTCCATAGTTCTCAGTGACTGCGAGTTGCGTGGCAATGAACCACGCCACGGATACCAGCGAACGTCAACGAAGTGCCGCCGCTGCGGCTGCGCCTTCGATCGCGGAGGAGTATATCAGAAAAAAACAACGAACGCAGAAGAAGCGGCTGCGATCGATTACGGGCGGGGTCGTTACAGAAATGGTGCGGAATAAATAGCAATGACTCTCCTGTTGACGCCGGCCGCAGCGGCTGTGGTCGTGTCTGCAGAAGCAGTTGCAGCTTGTTAGAGTAACGTCGACCGTGCTAGCTCTGAACACGACTCGTTTTGGCTGCTCGACTTAAAGCTACCCCATTCATGGCACGCGCGCACATGCGGTAGTGCGTGCGTGTCTGTATGAGCAAAACAAAAAAGGTACAGAAAGGAATGTGACCGAGAGGGAAAGACCCCGGGGTAAGCGAACCTATCTAGGGGATAGAAAGTGGGGTGGGGTGGGGTGGAGTGAATTCGTTATTCGCGCATGCCCATACACGCACGCGCGCGCGCGCGAATACACCAACACAAGCACACACAGAACAGAAGCTCGCACAGAAAGAGTGGACAACGCTATAACTGTTAACTTGGCCGTTGTTACTGTCTACGTTTATATGTATTTGCCGGCAACGTTATGGCAAGCTTGCAGGAGCGCAAATTTACGAAGTACTACAACATTGACGTTGATATTAACGTTAGCGCCGCAGCCGTTACGATCATCAAACGCTCGTATCGCAGGTGTTGAGTCATTCTTTCGTTGATGCTGTTACCATCGTCAAATCGCGTGAGAGACATCACAAACCTTTATCGAAAACAGAACTAGCAGTAGTTATATATGTATATAGACAGCTGGCTCCCGCTGATAGGAAAGAAGGAAACCTGTCGTTAGGGGCCAAACGGTGGACAAGGCGTGGTTCAAAAATGATTCACACAAAGCAGGCCGTACGCATAGTCAAATCAAGGAGCAGTAGCTGGAGCTTTTTTTAGAAATCGCTCGTTTACGCAAGACGACTAAATGGGAAGGTCCTGCCAGCCAGGGCCTCAATAGAAAATACAACGTGGAATAACAACAAACAATACAATTCTGAAGGTGAAGCGTAAAGACTCCTGCATGTAACTAAGCAGTGATTCTTGATGGCGTCGAGAGCATTACAAAGGATTTTCCTTACAACTGGCCTTACCCGATCGTAGAAAGGGATACGCAGGAAGACCTATGCGATTTTGGAACAACTATTGAAAGCAGAACATGATGACGACCGGCGATGATGTAACCATTCACTATCTAATGTAATAGCCTTAAATCAAACAATTTACATGTAAATAAAATAAGTTACTCTGGTTTACAGACTTTGAACTGCTGCAGGTACCTCTATAAATTACATGGAGAGGGAACACAGTTATTCTATACATATGGGCATTTTCACAACCCTTTAGAACATGATAGTTTTCATTAGTGATATTTATTGACCACAATAGACTGGTATTGGTGTTCATTTTAAATAAAATATTTATTATCTGCCAAAAATAGAACTGTCAACGGCTGAATTAACTCTTTTTTTTTCTCTTTTTCTAGTAAGCAGTAACCATAAAATAGCGATACCGCCAAATATTCCCGCTAGCTAATGTCAACTCATCTTTCTGAAAGACGTCCTCTAATGGACTAGAATGAGTCCCTTTTTCAATCTAACACCGCAGCATTTTACGTCTGACCAAATAGAAGTGAAAACGTATCGACTCTAAAATAACATATCGAAGAAAGAGTACACAGCATCATCCAACCTGTCGTCCGACCGGAAAGCTTCAAACGTCCAGTATTCAACGAGTATGGAGCTTCTCTCGCGTCGGTTGTTTTATTTAGGAAGATGTTAAATGCGAATCAGTTACATATTTATTGATACCTGTATTATCGTTATTGCTATCGTTGACAGCGTAATTAATCGTCGATGTTTTCCTTTTTTTTTTCATCTTGTACTGTCAATTTTCCAGGACCATGGAAACTATGTGTTCAGTTACAACATCGCTGACCCGTGGGGTTCATCAAATGGCCGCTGGGAGGTAAGCGATATTGACAGGTCATTGCGAGGTGTCTGTGCTGTGGCAAGCAGGTATAACGTGTGTAGGCAGTGCAAATAGATATAATTAAAAAATATAATCTGCTATGGTAATAGAGCATCGTAAAGTCGCGAAGAATACCTGTGGTTTCCAAGGAAGAATTAGGTCGCTGTGGGTCCACCACGTGGCTGATAAGGAGCATCAACTCAGGTAAAGTCGAGATTCTCCTCTTTTTGTAATACTATAATTAGTCGATCTTTAGAAACGAGGTACACGTTGAAGTTTCGGCCTACGAACGATAACTGGGTACGGCGTGAAAATGGCTATTTGGTCAACCAAAAGCTCAACCTTCAGCGATCCGCATTGGCTGAGGGTGACATGAGTCTTTTCCCTACAGTCGATCAACCTCCTGCTTGTACACAAGAAGGTAACAATTATGATCAATAACTGCCATTAGATGTTAAAAAGCAAATTGGTTTAGGACGGATGAATTTACATTTAATCATACTCAAAAAGGATGCTACACGTACCCCAAGCCATCGTCCCGCCATAAGTTCACATTATTGAAGCATCCTATAATGCAAGTGAAGCCATATAGGATACATGTCAATAATTGTTACAATAAAATATGATTATAATGATAACGGAATTGATTAACCTTCCAGTATCAATATAAATATTCTAAAAATACATAAATATGACACAGAGATCTGGCGCTTTCTAACCAGACGAATAACGAAGTACGACTAATTCTAAAATACAGGTACAGAAAAAAGGTAGGAAACTTTAACCAAAATAGGGACAAAAAGATAGGGAAATGCTTTTGACACGGTGGCTGTTGACGTACATATGTAAACAATTGCTAGAACTAACCTGTTTTTGTTTGATTAAACAACAATTTCCACCATCTGCCGGTGCGGATGTAAAGCAGTTAGAAAAAAAAAACGCGCTCTGAGCCGAGTATTGACACTTAATCACTGGCTGGTTCTGATTATTGAAATCACGCACAGCGTTACGCAGCACGAGAATCGTTCTTTTTTCTGTTATAAAACATGTTATTGTTATTGAGCATTTTGTGTGTTCTACCTATATTTGTTTCTATGTAAGTTTGAAACAGAAAATCGGAATTATTTTGATTTCACTGATCATTTCATTGATTTCACTGATTTTGTAAGGTTCCTTTACGTTTTTCTTTTCTGTCCTTTTCGTAACGTAACAGGCGCATCTAGTGTTCAGTTACTTAATCCATAGCTCCAGCGTGGCCTATGTTTGCCAAAAACGCCGCTTTTTGATTTCAGTTTTAATTACGTTCCACTTCGTTAACCGTTCCATTATGTTTTAGGATAAAACAATTTAATTATGTTTTAGGCTAATCTGCTTAAAGCGTTATTATATATACATATATATATATATATATATATGTATATATATAATTTACGTATGTAAAGCAAACTGGCATCATCACGAATGCTGTCAAGCTTCAGCAAGCTGACAGCCAGATTTTTTTAAAAATTTAATAAAGGAAGAAGTCAATAAATTTCAGCTGTTCTTTCCGTGAATTTAGCCATTCAAATGTGGCTCTCATGGCAGAGATAGCAAAAATCACAGATTGAATCTGGCTTAAGAAAAATTAAATGTGATATTCACCCATATAATGCGGATTCGCATACGGATCCAAGGGTGCAAATAAGACATTATGTCATCGTATTATTCTATGCAGAACAAGTGATTTATATGGGTTATATATATATATATAGGTTAATATATAGCTAGCTAGCCAGATGCTTACATTTTGTGCTATATATATATATATATATATATATATATATATATAAGCATGTAAATTTTTAAACGAAGTGACATTGTTAAATAGCTGGTTTATCTGATGCACATTATAAATCTTGCGAAGCTGTTACTATTAATCCAATATTCCATTTTTATAGTTCCATAGTTTATAGTTCGGATATCCTAACGCGTACTTCGTTAGGGCCAAAGAAACCGTCGTGGGGCGCAAAATATAAACATCTGGCTAGCTAGCCATAATCCATATAAATCACTTGTTCTGTATAGAATAATCCGATGACATAATGTCTTATTTGCACCCTTGGATCCGTATGCGAATCCGCATTATATGTGTGAATATCACATTTAATTTTTCTTAAGCCAGATTCAATCTGTGATTTTTGCTATCTCTGCCATGATCGACACATTTGGATGGCTAAATTCAGCGAAAGAACAGCTGAAATTTATTAATCTCTTCTTTTATTAAATTTTTAAAAGCATCTGGCTATCAGCTTGCTGAAGCTTGACAGCATTCGTGATGATGCCAGTTCGCTTTACATAAACCTCAATCCACCACTTGTCATTCATATTGCAATCAAGGTCCGGCGTACCACAGATATGATTCACAGCTTCATATTAAATTGAATCGAAATCGTCACAGAATCCTGGTCCTCACAGCCACCACAGATGCAATCAGTCGTTACGACAGCGGTATCGACCCCGAATTATTTCGGATGCTAGTCTATGCCACTGGAACAGTTGGGGGACTCGTGAAGTTTGTTGCTTTTTTCAGATTCACGCATGTGGAAGGAGTACATTGTAGTTTAAATAACTCGATTGACAATTTAGCAGAATTATTTAATACATATCGGTCCTTAGAAAAACAGACCGATAATATGGGAAACAGATCCTCAACATTTGCCGATAGTAACACTTCCAAGGAAGACCAATTTCTGCAGAAGTGTTTATAATGTAGGGGTTATATCCTAAATGAGATCCTTTAGGATTTGGATGTCTTAGCTATAACTACACTTGCAGCATTAGTTAATAGAGCGGTAAACAATTACAGAATCATTCGGCATATTTTCAGGTCACACATAGATAGTTAATGTCACACAATATTATGTTTGTGATGATATCCTGACAAATTCTGAGAGTTGCAAACTGGACGAAATTTTTCAAAATGTATTTAATACTTCTAACAAAAAGAAAAAAGAGACGTACTAGTCTTTGTTATATAGATGTTAATATAATAAGCTGATTGTACTTCAGGCAGTGTACGTCTAGAATAACTTCTCCCGACTGAAAATTCCCACAATTTTGTTTCTCTTTTAGATTGGAGATGCTTTTGGCAATAAACGAGGGGGTTATACGATTACTGAGGCGGATGGACGTAAAAGATACGTGGAATATATTGCGGACAAACACGGTTTGTTTGTTAAACAGATTGGATTTGCTCAATTTTTCGATTACATAATAATAACGATAATTTCAGAAGTTTATTTAATAAAGCGGCTTCGATCAGCAGATTTGCGAAAAGGCAAAGTTTGCACATTAAGGACGTGTGTCGTTTCTAAGTGTATCATATTGTGCCTATTTCCGCAGGTTTCCGCGTCGTTGTGCGGACCAACGAGCCAGGAACGGCCGGTTCCGCCACGGGGACAGCGGTAATCGCCTCGCCATACTCGGACGAAGGCTCCGCTCATTCGCATAGATTTGCCCCTGCTTCGCTGACCGCTAGCAGTCGCCGAAGACGACCACTAACCCAACATGAAATTGACTATGGTAAAAGCAGCTGTTAACATACAATAATATTCGACATACATGTTTTGACTTCAACGTTTGGTACTGCCGTTAAGCAACGTGTTGCACGTACGTGCTTGCCTACTGGACTAAGGCACACGTGAAGTGGCTTAAATTTAAAACTCGGATATTCAGATTTTCGCGTTGTAGCCATCGCGGTGAATGATGCTTTGTTAAATATCTCTTAGGTCGTGCCCTGTGCTACAATATAATTAGGCAAACTACTCTGCTGATATTATCTAAATATTTTAGCTCCGCTGATCGCGACGGAAAGTGCCGCTCCTGTTCTCGCGGCATATGAACCACTTCACATACAGTCGGCCGTGGTAAAGACACCCATCGAACTTCCAAAGGTAACGTAAATACATTCATAATCTCCACTTATCAACGGGATCGTCCTTTTAGAGCTACGTTTCGGCCGAAAATTGCCAGTTACGGAGAAATTTGTATGGAAAAGTTGATGTGCGTAAAAAAATGATTGTTTATATATGTGCTGCAGACATTTTAACAATGCCTATATATTTCGATCAACGCTTCGCTTTTACAATCGCTATTTTCGAATTATCGGCTGTGGGTTTCTAACGATCTAAGACCTTCATAATGTGCATTGATTACACCCAACACCCATAATAGATTAGACAAATGCGCGGCGTTTTTATGTCCAGTGCAGCCATAAGGCGTTGTTTCAGAAAATTGATTTTCTCTCTCAAACGAAGCGTATCTTCAAATCTAGATCTCTTTCGTGAGTTTAAGTGTATTAGGGACACAGTTAGGGGATAGGTATAACGCTTTTACGGCCACGCATAAAGAGTGAATTTTGATTACGAACACACACACATGACTCACCCTGTGTTTCCTTCCGATGTACGCGTCCCGACTGGTGTTTGTACCCCCACCAAGTCAGCTCTGGTCGATCGTGATCTGACACATGCTATCCGTTGTGTATACGTGTGTGCACGTGATGCACATCCGATTTTCGTGTCTGTTTTTTGCAGTCGTTATTTTTACTGTAAAAGCTGTCAATCTTCTGTGATACGTACATTTTACCAGCTAGCTTAGCACAGCATTAAATATACGACGTCTGTTAAGTAGGCGTAAGAAAGACAAGGCCAAGAGGAACTCCGCTTTGTCGGCCCATTTACTTCAGCAGGGTATCAGAGCTTGTACGACATGTATTACACGAAACGCTCGAAGGCGGTCCCGAATCGTACATCATTGTATCCCATATGACGATGGAAGACTGTGGCAAATGATACAAGTGACAGACGCGTAGTCTTTGGTTAATGGGGTGCAGAATATCCTGTCACCAGAAATAGATAGGCTTTCGTATATTAATTATTGTGTATACATGCAGTGAAAAGACCCCGTAACCTTGTTTTTATGAGCTGGGTGCGCTCGAACAGGTTAAAAGTGAAGTGAAGTGAAGCACGCACCTTTTCGGAACTAGGTGTTTATAATTAATACCTAGTAGGTTGTTATTGCAGGTAAGTACTGTTTGTCACGATCACAAGCAATTAGGGCATGCGGTTGTCCTACCATCCATCAAACTACTTGAGAATTTATTTTTATTTTATCCTTATTTTCCAAGGTATGCATTACAGTAACATGGAGGTTTAAACGTATCAATTTATTCGTCAATTAATAACTTCGTTACAAGTGTTTTCTTAGCCATTATTTTTAAGAGGCGGTTTTACCTCTAGCGATAATTTCAAAGTAAATTGACTTTCAATGAAACCGGTCTCGATTCTCAACGGTCATTAGGCCCACTAATCTGATTCATCCAGAGAATGAAGAATTAACATAAACTGAACACTGCGAACATAAACATCGCGTTTCGTTGCTTCTCGATTTGCCTGCCCGATCTTTGTATGTGATAGAGTTTGAGCTTAAAACTGTGACCTCCTTTTGTGTTATCCCTATTTTCCAAAAAAGGTTCGCATAGTTAATGACACCGTCAACTATGAGCAAATTTAAGTTCCACTTAATTTTCCATCGAAGTTATATATATATATATCTTAAACATGCGATTTCAGGTCGCAGGGGCGCCGCGTGTCGCCGCCCCTCCACCGATCGTTACGACTCACCCAGCGATTGAAGCGGTCCATCATCCGCCCATCGTAACGTCCTCCAGAGGATATGGAGTTCTTCACGCGGCAGCTTCTAAGGTACACATCTGTGATCTAACGTACATTAAAACGTCACGTATATTGTGCATATATAAATCGCTCCAGTTTATGCAACCATATATTTTTCGCTGGCATAAATAACATAGGAATCGTCAATGCTTTTGTTTGTGAGGCATATGTTATTATTGTTATAGGTTTGCTTATTGCGTGCCCCGCTATACTAACAGTAGATTATCATCGAGCAATTGTTTTAACAGCTCAGATTGATAATTATGCATCGATTTCAGAGAACTTCTTGCTCACACGTTGTTGCTCCTCTGTTGTCGCGAGATTACGGCCTTCGACGTCGGCGATACAGGAAGGCTCAAGGCTCGGCCATCCTTGAACGGAATATACATAACTATTATTGAACGGAAGCCTCCTTTCATATGTCACTGTACTACAAGCATAATTAATGCATCCCGATGTCTAGTTGTTCACCATCGTTGCATAAGGTCAAATACTCTCGAGTTGCTCTATATAAATGTAGCGATAAAAAGGATTAACGTACAAACAAATGGTCAGCTATTAGCTAAGGAGATATCACGGCTTTTGTTTCTATGGTACCTAATGGAAACTACTGATAATGCCGGGAAAAAGTACCGACTCACAAGTTTCCTGCACTGATCACGGTACCTACGAAGAAAATTAACTAGCAGTATCTAATTTTTTGTTGTTATTAATTAAACAGTTTCGTTTAATTACTATAAAAGGCACCACTCCCATACACTACATAAGATAATAACTAACCAATGAATTATTTTCATCAGTCACAAAACGTGTTTCATTCAATTATAAAAAAATCTTGATCACAGCTGTACCGTCTAGCTAAGCTAACCATTTAAGTTACGTCCTAGTAGCCACCGAACATATAGTTTAGATGCCGCCATCTGCCATTGAAGTAAACCAGAAGCCTACAAAAATGCATGGTATCTTCGATATTTCCGCTTGAACATTGTCCACAGGAAGTTTTTGTGCACCTGATGAACTTGTTTTCAGTCAATATAATTTAAGCTTTAAGTTACACTTTGGCATAGTTTTATAAGGCCGCTTGACTCTCAAGGGAGACAATGTAAGCTTTCTCTGACGGTTGCATGCGAATAAAAGTAGACTTAAATTTCAGGAACTTCTACTAGTTTGTTATAGTAAAAGGTTCATCCAATTTTCCAGTAACTATTTTTTCGCGCATGATCTGTTTTTGTGAACTTACATTCACCACTTGATACCATTTGATATTACGTTTATTATCATAAGAATCAAATTGTTCATTTTTACACGACATGAACCAATTAGTATTCTATAGTCGTATCTGCAAAGAAAACTTGACACACTAAAAATACTCAGTACAACTTCACAAACCGCTAGTTATTAACTTGGCTTATTGTTATCTGTCCTAGATATTTTCAAACAGATCATATTGATCCGTTATGGGTGAATCATATGAAGTTATATAATCCTAAGATGGTATAAAACAACAAAAAAATTTCGCGCCATACTTATCAGGTACATTTGATAAATGTTAAAGATTAAGATAATTCTGCAATATAATTAATAGACCCGTACTTGTAGAAACACGTATAACCCATATAACTATGAAAGTACCAAATCAGCTCTCATAAGATACATTTTCGTCTCAAGGTAAACGACAACGGCAGATAGAAATTCATGATCATTCGGTTAGCGAATCGCGTTAGTTACGCTACCCTGTTCCGTTTTCATAAAAGCATATTATAAGTGGGGGGCGAAATTACCGGTATCATCTATATTATAAACGTGCGTGAACACATTTAAGAAGTTCCCGTTCCTGAGAGAAATTCGTTAGTTGATGCGCGAACATTCGTATCTAAGGGAAAAGAATAGCTAAGGTTATTAGCATAGTGGGTAATATTAATACACCAATTCACGGTGTAATAGTAATAAATAAATGATCACAGTGATATTAACTGATCGCGAAGAGTTTGTCTTTAATTCAATAGGCAATTTTCGAAAAAAAATACATAGGAGAAACTAAAGTCGACAAGCTTTAGCAGAGTTAAGAGGAAATCTTTGAAACCAATTGTTCAACAAGAATCTAGCTCTAGTGAATTGCATTTTACTTACATTTTACGATTTGTATAGGTTTCTTCATATCTGCGTTGAAAATCATCAAGGCATTTGTCCAAAAATGCTATATGCTGTTTAATAAAATACTGGAATTTGTGAGCTAACGGATGTTAGCTAAAGTTAACAAAAAAATTGTTACGATAATCTTATTGTTCTGTTAGTCATACGGTTACTGGCTAAGAAATCCCTAATAAAAAATGGCAATGAAGCAACAAGTATTTTGAAAGTACGACTACAGTTTATCCTTAGCAAAAGGTTTAAACCTTTTTGGACAATGAAAGAGGCCCAAATCAACTACAGTATGACCATTCTATGCAAATAAACAGCATGCAATAATTCATAGAGCTTGCATAATACGTTCACCTACTATTTTCGAAATAGTCCGGCTAATCGTTTCTTGCGGCTAGTGAATTTGTTACGCTCCGTGTCTGTTTGAGGATGCCAGAAGAAGAGTAATGTCGAACTCCAAACAAATCTTTCCACTTTAATAAAATATATAACATGATTCCGCATTTTATAGCCGTTGTGCTTCGAAAGAAAGGGGGCTGACCATCTTATATAAGCTAAATATTAGGAAAAAGCCTGCGATTCTGAAAAAGCCTTACTTTTTTGTTCTATTTACTCGGCTCCTTACCTGGGACATCTATATACGTATTTCTAATTTCACTCTAAGTACACTTCCCAAATTATCGGAAAAAAAGGAAGATATCGCACTACTCATGGTAGAAAGCATATTGAGTAACTTATTCAGAATGTACATTTGTGTTTACGCGACAAAAGCTATATTCACGAAATTAAAGCATCATACAAATGTCAAACATTCTCGACATCCCGGCAGCGGGTCCTTAATTGCTATATCATACGTACTTGCTTCACCGACACAGCTAATGTAGTATATGACGGGTTTGAGTACTCTCCCTTATTTTTAACATTTAATCACCATATAGCAAATTTAGCTGTTCTATCGCAGTTTTACTAAAAATCGACATTTTATAGTGCTGAATCACTCGACCGGATTTGCCGCGAAGCACAATTTCTAGCAGAATGCCCGAGCTTAACCAAGCAGCAGACGAAACTTTCGCTGTCTACTTACACTGCATTTAACCAGAGCGGGTGGCGCCAGCTGGCTAAGTCATCTCACGCGGCGCGCATCGTGTCCTCACATCGTGTTTCCCTCTCGATTGGCTCTCGTTGTTGTTGTTGTTATTGATGCTGCTGTTGTTGTCTAGTTAGCAGACGCCGTATCAGTTGCTCTCATCGTCGTGTTCTATAATGCTGACATCTGCTATCTTCCTGCTGGAGATATCGCTGGTCGAGGTGTCGTACGACTGCTAATGCAGCTCGCTTCGAATTACCGCTGCTACCGCTACAAAATCGAATGGAACACAGGACAGGGCGCGGCAGCAGCGGCAGCAGCAACCCGTAGCAGCCAGTTTCTTAGGAACAGCTACAGCCCCAGCAGCAGAAGCCGCCGGTTGCAAAGGCACTCTCAACAACAACCCAGCCTCTCCCATGTGATCTTAGCCGTGGAGAGAGCGGCTTGTTTAACACTCCATGATCCAGTTGGTCGTGCAGTTGTTGATTGACCGCGTTGTGTTTTGAGTTCGTTAAGCCGCTTGCCGTCGCAGTCACTGACTAATTTGTTCGTTTATCTGTACGCCTTTGGCTGAATGGCTGTCTGAGTGAGTGACCGATCAGTATTTCTAGTATTGTTAACTGGCCCACTGTCCGGTTCGTCTATCTCTTTATGCTGTCCAGTGCCCCTGTGTGTGCGTGTACTTATGTGTATCAGTCTCGATTTCGTCGAGCTGCCTACTTCTAGAATATCTACTTCTACTGCTGCTGCTGCTACAACTATTACTATTGCGGATCCTTAACCGACCATCGCAAAAGCCGCTGTTTCACACCGCTAGAAAGTGGCTGAGGTTTTTAAGGGGCGCGTGAAATCCCCACTGTTCTCGTGAGCCTACTCGCTGAATACGGCGAACGACTTTGCAACTCGAGGGAACCTCCGGAAAACTAGGTTACAGAAGAAGGCAATATAGGGAGAAAAACGGGAACCATTCAACTGTGAAAAGCAAGCAATACCAAGAATAGCATCAGCTACAGATACATGCTAGCAACAGCTTATGTGAATTCGTAGGAATTATAGGGTCAACGACAGCTGCGACAGTTGTCCGACCGACGGGACGTAAGTTTTTCTGCGTACCTCTCAGTGACCGTTTGTGTACGTCCCGGTTTAAGTAAGTGGCTCGATTGGCGCTGCAGCCGCCTCTAGCTGTCTGGCGCCGATCAAAAAAGAACAGACGATTGTCAATGTTCCTGCTATAGCCGTTGCTACGAAAACGCACGCGCCAGCTTATCCAATTACCGCAACATCTCGCACTTGTTCGTACATTTGTTGTGTTGTGTAGCTTAGTCATAGTGGGGGGTGGCGGATTTTAGGGACAGTTTAAAGGTAGGGAGATAAGGAAGACCGAGCCGGGCTAGCAGCTGCAAGCGGTGCAAAGGTATTTTTAAAGTAAAATTCTAATCAACTTCTTATTAGGGTGACCGTGAGATCGCGTTAAGGGTTCGCTGCTGCAAGAAACGATAAACGTGTCGAGATCGTTGAAGTTGTTGGTGTCGCGGTACATAAATGCTAAGAAGTAGATAAAGACATCCCTCAGCACATGTGGCTCGAGCGCACAGTTGATTCTACGAGCTAGGCGACGTGAAGTGATTCTTACAATTTGTTGTTTGTGAAATTTTTCTTTCTCAGTAAGTCCGATATCAGTATAGCCAGAATACCCTGCATAGTCCTTTTTGCTGGTGTTATAGTGATTTCTGATGAACCTTGCGTGGTATTCCTGGTGAATGTGGCCCTGCGGCTATTATTACCCGTGTTGTTTAGGTAGAACTCATTTGGCTTGCTCACAGGATTACCTATTTTTTTTTTTTACTTTTGCCATTATTATGCGCCATTCTTTATTTTCCTTGTCACAAGTAGTACACATCTATCGAAATCCGCCTGCTGCCCGCACGTATAATCTGTCAGAAGTTCGCGATCTCAGTGTGGCGTTATCGTAAGCTCGACAGGTTCATCCCGGTAACGCAGATAACAACAGAACTGTGCGGGATAAAAGATGGATGAAGCCGAGAAAGAGCAGAGAGCATTGCGTCTTAAGGAGGAAGCAAATGAACATTTCAAAAGTAAGTCAAATCAGTGGTTAGATTAAATGACTCATTACACCATTGTGCTATTTTTCGTCATATGCGGAAACACTACGCAAGAGGCGTTTGCAACTGCAGTACAGTAGTTGTCTTTGGTGTTTCACTCACTTTATAATCTTTATTTGCATAGCAGTGCTACCTTAATATATTTACATTTATCGATCGATTCACATTAGTACTATAGAAGAGGTCAAATCGTCTCGACTAAGCTGAAGAGCCTGCTCAACATTTGACACATTTCCTAGCCCAGCACTCGTTGTTTTCTCGTTTAGGTCATCAATGGTGTTTTCTCTCATCGGAAATGTCTTATAAAGTACGAGTCCATCGAAAACAGCTGCAATATAGCTCAATGCATTCACTAGAATGATTCGTGTTATATGCGACCTTCCATCGTGAAAAAAAAAAACAGTAATTACAAACCTCAGTAACTTGTAGCGAATTGCTTAAATTTTTTTAATAACATGACTATGAGATAATAAATGTTGTCAAGTTTAGGTGATCACTCAGGTGATTTAGGCCTCAAAGCCCTGTGTGGTGAGGCCGTCGCTAACAGTTCCATCGAACTGTTGCGCTGCGCTGAAATGAAATCGCCGCTGCCGTATTTACTTGTCTGAAGTTCGCGGAAAACACTGACTGCCGATATCGTGTTTAGCCGCCAGCAATAACATTGCGATACATGATTCTTGAGAAATAACTACTTCCCGAACTGCGGATATGACAGCCTATGAAATATGTACAACTGATTTTCCAGTGCACCAATATAGCATTATATAACCAAGCAATAAAGAAGTGAAATATCGATTATAGTTTAGAAAAATGAAGACCGTTTTGTACCTTTTTTCATATATTGTTTCACTGTTTTCTGATACCATCGCACTTTATATGAATATAGAAAGCTTATAATTATTATTGAAGCATGCGTTTCTTTTCTGCTCTGTTTTTCGATTGTCTGTAGTAAGGTAAGAAGCGATCCTGATAGATCGTAACAAACGCTTGTTATATGCGTGCTTTCCCCAAAGTCGTGTCCTCATCATCATGAACGCGAATCACAGCTACAGAAATTGTTGCCAATGAGTGTCATTAGAGTATGCGGATCTTGTACCGAAACTCTTAAGTATGCTTAATGAGTTCTTCAAAAAATGATTTATTAAGTTAATGATGAATTATTATTATACACACACACATCCACGGCGAAGTACATGGCAAAACTGTAAATATATCGATAATATTGAACGATTCACTCATGTTTTTTCGTCGTGCTCTGTTACAGAACAAGAGTTTGCGAGCGCAATCGAGTTATACAATCAAGCGATTGAACTGGATCCTACTAAAGCGGTTCTATTCGGCAATCGGAGCTTCGCTCACCTTCGGCTAGAAAACTTCGGTTATGCCCTCGAGGACGCGAATAGAGCCATTCAAATAGATTCGAATTACGTTAAGGGCTATTATCGAAGGGCGTTAGCGTATATGTCATTAGGCAAATTTAAATTGGCTTTAAAAGACCTCGAAGCTGTGAGTGATATTTCGTCTTCTACGTTCATTGACTCTTCGTGCTATTACTAATACCCGGTCGAGTGACCTTCGTTACTCACCTTGCTGTTTGGTTTATCAAAGATATGCTATGCTAACTGTAGTTATTTGGCGTCAAATTAAATCTCCTAAAATTATTCTCACTTCTCACAGTTTAAGTTGCGTCCAGACTTTAGAGTTACATATACCATATCTCCGTAATATTCGTTATTGTCTACGCGGTCTGCGTATACAACCGTGATCAAAAGAGTCGTCTCTTGTCGTGTGTTTTATTATATCGATACATATGTTGTTTCTTCATTTAGTCACATTTGTCGTATCATATATGGCATTGACGGAGCTTGAACTAACGACGGCCGGCTTTCTCAAGCAGAGGTTTAGCTATTCGAGCTACCTAGCCGACAGATCTCATTAATATCTATCAATATTCATATAAAGAATGGGATACATTTGTAACCCACATAGCGACTGGCATTCGCATGTATTACCTAAGCATTATATCAATAGAAATAAATTAGTAGTTGATTGACTGTTAATAAACGCTGAAGAAATCGTTATTATATTGGCGATAGTCTCACTTCAGGTGTGCGGGGCGTGTCCGTCGGATTTGGATGCAAAGAAACGCTGCAACGAATGCCGTAAGATCGTGCAACGGTTGGCATTCGAAAATGCCATCCGGGTAGAAGAGGTCAGAAGGAGTGTTGCAGACAGCTTCGATCTCAATACAATGACCGTTGATGATGATTATGACGGTAAGGGTCGTTAGCGATTCTGCATCAGCATACTCCCTAGACGAGTTTTAGTGTGAATCCATATCACGATCATTCAGTTTCTTCGGATACTGCACCATTTATTTAAATGCAGAACTAATACAACCCACATCACGATTCCTCAGTTTTCTCCGGATATCCGCACCGTTTCATTTAAATAGTGAAACGATGTCGAGTCATGTACCTTGGACGACCCTGATGTTCGTTTGTTCTGAGTCCTTCCATGAAGTGTCCGCGTGGAGCTGTGCCTATTTTACAACATCTATGGAATCAAGTTATGCGATAGATAACCAATATATCTATCGAACAACCGAATTATTAATTGTTATGCTAGCATGATTTCAGGTGCAAGCAGCGCTGAGGACACTTAAGTTAGTTTTGCAGCGATAGTACACGTACTATACATTCGCGACTGCGCCGATTTTAGTTCGATCGTCGTTAATTAGAAAAGCTAGCTTTTTTTCTATTTATTTCAACACGTTAATATAAGATGGATTTCTTTGCTATTGATGCTGTTGTTTTTTCATGCGTCTGTTACATAATTTATGCCATTTACTTGTAGGTCCACACCTCGGAGATGATGGACAAGTCACAGTGGAGTTTATGGACGCCTTAGTTGACACTCTTGAAAAGCAAAAGAAGTTGCATCGAAAGTATGCGTACAAAATGCTCCTTCTGATAAAAAAATACTTTGAACAACAGCCGACATTAGTTGACATTGAAGTTCCTGCTGGCAGCAAATTCACCATCTGCGGCGATATCCATGGTCAGTTCTATGATCTGCTGAATATTTTCAAGTTAAATGGTCCACCCTCTGAGACCAATCCGTACCTGTTCAACGGCGATTTCGTCGATCGTGGCTCATTCTCAGTCGAGTGCATCCTGACACTGTTTGGCTATAAGTTGCTTTATCCAAGTCATTTCTATATGTCACGAGGGAACCACGAGAGCCATACGATGAATCAAATGTATGGATTTGAGGGTGAAGTACGTTCGAAATACACGGACCATATGGCGCAGCTGTTCACCGAAGTGTTTTGCTGTATCCCGCTAGCTCATGTGATCAACAACAAAGTGTTCGTTACCCATGGCGGTCTCTTCCAGAGCAACGGCGTCACACTGAAAGACATTCGCGAAACAGATAGGTTCCGTGAACCTCCAGAAACGGGTTGGTACTATAAAAATAGCTAAATTGAAAAAGGTAAACTGATAACTTAGCTTATATATATATATATATATATATATATATATATATATATATATATAAAACCTTCAAGGTATTAGGGGCTAAAAGATATCATAGCAAGTGTGGCTGGGCAGTATTGTTTGAAAAGCTAAGCTTATGCATTAATTTGTGTAAGAAAGGAAAAAACTACTATGGCATACTTTGGTAGCTGAAGTGCAAATCGTTAAGCTAGCACAATCACACTTTAGAAACTTTACTGTTATTCAAATATTAAAGTGTAATGTCGAATTGCTCTATGACGTAACAGAACTTTTTTTTGGGTGCCAAGAGCGTAATTACTGCAAAACATATCGCAGAAGTGTTTTAACACCGTCGTTTTGTGAGACAACAAAAATGAACAAAAATAAACCGCAAAATATAAAAAATTGATATGTTTTTTACTCAATGTGCATCTATCGTAGTGTCAGTTCGTTAGATGATTACGTTACAAAAGCGAAAAGTCACTCTATTTCTAGGAATTATGTGCGATCTGCTATGGTCCGACCCCACACCCCTGCCGGGCCGACAACCCTCGAAACGTGGTGTAGGTATACAATTTGGACCGGATGTTACTGACCGCTTCCTATTTGAAAATGGTCTTGAATATGTGATACGTTCACACGAAGTGAAACCGGAAGGATATGAAGTGGCTCACAACGGCAAATGCATCACCGTCTTCTCGGCCCCTAATTATTGTGACCAGATGGGGAATAAAGGCGCCTTTATCACTATACGTGGTGATGATCTCACGCCAAACTACACTGTTTACGAAGCAGTGGTATGTTTTATGCTGCTACCTTTATGACGCCAATAGCTTTCTCTATATGAAACTCTCCGTAAACCACCAAGCGCTTGGTGCTCTACGAAACGTTAAAATTATGTAATGTACTGCATATTAATATTGATATATAAATAATTTGCCCAATCAGTGTGGATAGTGTGTATTAGTCAAACAAACCGTTTACTGACCTTCTTGCATTATTTATCTCTCTTAATAGCCGCATCCCAATGTTCGGCCAATGGCATACGCCTCCAGCCTGATGAGCTTCTAGAGTCGTACAAGCGGACCATTCGTGAGTTCGCACATTCAGTCAGCCTATGTTGAAGTCAGGGTCTACGTTATTGTGGACTTGTTGGAACGCGGAAGATGCAAACACGTTTCTTCCATAGAAGCGTTAAAATTAGGAGAAGATAGATCAAGACGATTAGAGGAACCCAGTCGTCCGTTGCTGAATTTCGCCCATTGAAATAGGACCAGCCGCAGTGCAAGTCTAAAATGGAAATCCATTATAATAATCTAGAGGTAAAGCATTCGGCTGTTTCGACTAGAAACGGAAGTTTTGACAGTGAGCGATTTCCACCCAGCGGTTTTTTGGTTGACAAGAAGATTGCTAAACGATGAATCTACGATCTATATCCAAGGAAAACCGCTTAGGACTACACGATCGTCTTGAAAGAACTGATATATAGAGAAAAAGAGTAACAAAGAAAGGAGAAAGATAATAGTATTAATGATAATCGTTGTAGGATTAAAACCACCTTGATGGTAAACGTTAATAGTAATGCTGGGCGGTTTTACACAAAAATAGAACTAAACTTAAATAAAAAAAAAATACATTATTAATAAATAACAATAGAAAAAACATAACAGATGTAGCTGAACAGAGAACACAGGTCCGAAGAATCGGGTATTTATAGGTATAATATATCTATCGTTTTTGACAAACACAAAGAACTGATGGGCTTTATGTGAATGTAACTGAAGCTAATGTAAATGAGAGAACGTTTATATGGGGAGGAGGGGGAGTTACAGGGGTGCGACGAAGAAGTACAATATAAGAGAACCAGAAGGGAGACACTATAAAAAAAAGCAAGAAATTGGAAGACAAAGAGGCGAAAAGGGCTTAACTGTTATATTGTCATGCCTGTTGTTGTCCTATTTTACGATGTGGGCGTTATGAGAATGTGGAAAGGATATACGGAAGAACCCCAACATGCGATTAGAACAAAAACCAGAGCGAATTGATCGTGCATATAGTAGTGTGCACAATAAAGTGGCACGGAACGTTGGGCCGAGCACCGTATTGATCGGTTCGTTTTAATTTACCTACATGGCCTACTGCCTTGATCGCTAACTATGTGTGAGTTGAAAAGGGGGGCGACTAAGTTAAGGCAATAATCGGGTATTGCCGCTCAGTTACATTGACCTGTGTTTAAAATATTTTGTTCGAATTTGATATTTGTATGCGTTGTTTCTTGTCTTTATCTTTATCATTTACAATAATTGTTTAGAGCATTTTTTCATACTGTTGTTGCTAGCTTTTTATCGTTTTGTCGGCACAGATGGCGTGTCATATTGCAAAACGTTGGAACGAGGTTTGTGCAGCTCTAAACATTACCAATCAGACCCTACCGGCGACTCAGCTATAAAGCGTCTTGCACAATTTTCGATTCTATATGAATAATTAACAGAGAATGCCGTCGAACAAAGTTGTTTTCAGCACTCGACAAATGAGGCAATACCGTTAAATAAACGAATTACGCATGCATAAGCTTCTGGCATACCCTATATATATATATCTATATATACAAAAATCAATTACTTTAAAGAAAGCGATAGTAATCTATAGGTAAAAATCCACACCTCAGACAAGGATGACGATAAAATTAACTAATGTAAATTTTGATGGCCATACAAACACATGGAGAAATGAAAAGAATCGCGCATTTACATATGGTCGCTGTAATTTGTCCCCGTTGTTTTAGGGTTACCCTTTTTTTTAGGTTCCTGGCTGCTATGTTCAGAAAGCTGCTAGACCGGTTTCTGATAGGTTTTATTTTTCACATTATCCGAGGTTCTATATTGGGACGCTTCAGGACCGCTGTACTGTATACACAAGACCGCACAAGCCATATAACGGTGCTCGAAAAAGGAGTCATTCATCTTGCTGATGATTTGCCTGTGCAAGCCATTGCAATAGCTATGATCCATGCCTTTCTTCAAAGGCAACGACTGTTTTAATACTAAAAAGACGACAGCTCTTGATATCCGGTATAATCCATTGAAACATCAGGAGTTCGAAGAAATATACAGGTCCTGAAAGTAAAAGTTGAAATTATAATGGTTGAAAATAGATTCAAAAATAATACCTTGGATCTATACACGCAGAGAACGTAAATAAAACAAATGCAACTGCCACAAATATTTTATTGAAGGATATTGTAAATTACGGATATCTGAATTGTTCAAGCTGTTTCTAAGTAATAATATTTCTTTCTTTGGAAGTGCATTACTTTCTCTCAAAGAGACAACTAGATTTTGACATGCCATAGAGTTTCAGTTATATCCGGACGTCTCTTTTAAGTAACGGATAATATACGACACTACGGGATTGTTTAACGAAACATGGCTACTAATAGTCAGGCCTGATCATGAAATGATGCTCAAGACGAGTACATCTGTGGTAAAAGCAAACCGGATTTTGTACAAAATCGACTTTTATATGTACATATCAGTATATTCATATCAGCAGAACAGTGTAGTGTGATCTTGTCGTCAAAAGTTGGAGCTGTAATGCATCTCGATGCAACAAATCATCACCACAAGGTGTGTTTTTTTTAAATATTGCTCATATGTGGTGTGACGATTTTTTTACAATTTAAGCCCTAATTACATCAATTAAAATAGGCGAGAGTCCAATGACCCATTTTTTGCAGCAATCAGGTATGAAAGGTTCAATCGTGATCCAAAAACGACGATGCGCAGTTTGGGGTCGATACTACAAAAAACTGCCAGGGCTTAGAGGCCGGCCTGCTCCAAAAAATACTTCTCCTCAACGTATAGTAATTATATAAGGGTAACAGCTGTCGTTTCTTCGTTGATTAATTTTATACGAGAATATACAAACAATATTTATTATTATGGTGAGTAAATAAAACAAAAATGTAGGAAAACA